CCTTTCAAAGGACTTATTAGCTACCCTAAGGTAATTTTGCCCGCCTGTCTTCTGATGACGAGATACTAACATGTACTTAGTTTTTTGTGAATTTACTTCTAGCCCCACCTGTCTGCTAGCCTCTTTATTGTATTCATATCGTCCCCCAATAAATTAACATCAAAAACAATTAATTAGAATGATACAATTATATATAACAAAATAAATAATTAGAACAAAACAATAAAATACAATAAAAACAACTGAACAATGCATTAAACAGCATCTGCAGATTCTTCACCGGATGCCGGCGAAAATGCTTAGGACTGATCTGTTCTCCTGAAACAAGAGATGAAAATTACATCAACACTTGTTTTATAAATTTCTACAAATGTAACCTTAAAATTGTTAATATTACAAGATACATGTTTCCCTCCAATGGTGGAAATCTACCATACCACACAGCGCAACAACCCAGAAGACATCCACCTTCAATTATCTAGTAGCTTACAAGTTCCAAGCAATTTTGAAATTCTCTCATCCCCAGCGCTGGTTATGATGGCTTCTCCATCAGAAGATATCGACAGATACGGCACTCTGTTTGAATAATGTAATTTGTTTTGCAGTAATTAATGACCTGTTGGATCTAAAAAAGTGAACTTCACTATAGCGAGGAAATATAATAATAATGTTGACTTTCAGCATAAAAACACACATGGTGCTAACCTACAACAAATAAACAAATTTCCATAAGAAATGTAATGAAAAGTAACAATCTGGAATAGCATCCACACCAAATTCCATGAAAATTTGTCAGCCAATCTCGTTTAACAAGTAATTATGCAAACGATGACACAGCCAATGACAGCGCAACAGGTAATGACATCATCAGTTACTGCAGAGAATTACGGATATTGACATCACTGTAGGTCTTAATCCAGCTACCTCACAACTCGTAGCATGCTAATGTCTCCAGGGATGATCTTTCAAGGCGCATGGCAACTTTGGGTATGTCTAGACTCTCCTATTCAGGTTGGGCCAACCACAGAGCAGATTCCATTACCCCAACCAAAAGTGTGATTAAGAGGGGCCCTACAATTTAATGTGTGCTCTGAACCACAATAAGGGGCCTGGTATACTTCATTTTCCCAAGGTTTTATTTTTGGAAAATGTGAAGACTTCAGTTACCAAGAAGAATCTGAGAAATGTGGATGAATGAAAATTCTGTTATTTTTCCATAAACAACAAGTATTGACCTAAGGAAAACATATTTTATACTGCCAAAATTGAGTAAAGTAAGGAACTGCCCTGAGTGGAGACGGCTTCACAGTTACAATTTTATGGTTTCATTAACTGCATTTTTCATCCAAGTACAAATGTAGAAATTTTATAAATTATATCTGCAGCAAATGAAATTTCAAAATTAGGTTTGGGGGTGTTAAAATATTCACAACATAAATTTCAATTTAATCTTATAGGTTACAAACACTTCACTACCTGTACCAAATTAAAAATACAATTCCTTCCCCTATCAATGAGATCGTTCCAAGTACAAACTGCAGAGCACATCGACATGCAAGAAACTTACCAGTTCAGAGGAATGTTTAAGCCAAGCAAGATTACGGACTTGAAATCCAGTGTCCACAAACTGCTTTGGTTGTCCTGTGAGCGTGTTCTAGAAACGAATACACCGATCAGCTCCGCCTCCACCACTAGCCAAGAGTCCATGAAGGTGCGGGAACCATGCAATAGCTGTAAAATAAAATGTATTTGTGTATATTAAGAATTGTGTCCAAATGATCAGTTTGATACATCATGCTGCAGAGAATATTAAAATAAAGAAAGAGAATGGAGGAGGCAGAGATGAGAAATGTGAAGAAATTTACTTTGCAAATTATAAATGCTGCGCAGAACAGTGAAATCAAAGACATCCAAAGAATATGAGCACCATGCCGGAGAAACCATGAACTTGTATCAGTTATATATGATAAACACAATGATTCATACCTTTCACTGAGTGTAAGTCTGCACAGGTGAGAGCAAATGCAGATTCCAAACATTGAGGCGATTGTCATTGCCACTGGAGGCCAGGCTCTGCTTGTCTGGATACCACTTCAAGCCGCAAACCTTTGAACAAAAGATACTTATAGTAATTGAGATTGATGACAATAATTTTAAAACGTTAGCAAAATTTTATGTGAAGTTCTGACTATGGTGAAGATGTTGATGCTGTTCTTCTGGGTCGTGATGCATATGAGTTTGGAGCATTTAGGAACAGAAAAATTGCCAACAATTTTCAGTGTACTTCCAAAACTCTAGTATCTATGTGAGTCCACATGGTGTCACAACCCAGAAAAACAATGATAACTGTTTTGCAGTAATAACAAAATTATTAATACTTAAGATTTTCTATTAACCTCTTGTTGATGGCCAACCAACATTGTCTCTGTCACAAGACTAGGAGTTCTCACATCACATTGTAAGATCAGTCCTTCCTGACGACACAATATCACCATTCCAAGCTAGCGATTCAACTCTGTCTGGATGGGTCAGCAGCTCATTAATTGGGAATTTACAGCAACCTCCCAGACTTGCATGTAGTCATGATGTGTGCCAATTGCTACCAAATAAACAAATACAAAACACCAGGTCATAAATGTGTCCAATAACAAGAGTCAGTCCTATATTATGTTAGGAGTGATATGTTGTGTTATCTGTTCGGTAACACTTCCTGGTATGCAAATTCTTACCTATTATCTACAGCTGTTGCAGAATATGGCCATAATATTTCATTTATATAAAATTATGACATCACATTACATCAGAATACAGACAAATATATTTTGCTTTGCAGGTCTTCATGGATGGAGTAGCCTATATAAATAACGCCCACCTTGAATGTGTGTTACTGCAATGTTTGCAAAAATTATTGTTAACACTAAACAACTGTCATGGCTCTCACCCACAAGCCAAAGTTATACAGACAAATACATTTATCCTGAAATAAATATGGCTACCTCAGGACAAAAATCTCTAAAAGACAAACTACTAAAATTTTGGGCTTGGTCTCCCTCACTTGGCAGGCGGAGGACACAATTCTTCTCCACCTTCCTCAGAAGGTTTGTAACAAGAAATCCAAATTCTTCAGATTTCTATTAATGCACAGAACAGTGAACTTCAGAAACACCAAGATGTTTCCCTTGTCATGGATATAAAACATAAAATGAAAAGCAGAAAGAACGCACAGAAATGGGGTTAGCAGTTGACACTGATTCAACATGTGTACAAGAAAGATGACAAGAAGCAGAATTGCAGGAAAAACAAGAGGCCAAAATTGAGAAAAGTCAAAATGGGGACTTTGGCAACTTTCAGAATTCAGAACAGAAGTCCACAGACTTACTGGGCACGAAACAGGCCTGAGGAAAGAGAGATTCTGACAAGGAGTCAAGTACGACAAATAACACAGCCCTTTGTATTCCTGTGTTGCTCTATATGAAAGGGACCTTATTTTGCTTTAACTTCACATGCAAATTCTCAAGTCATATATTAACTACAATTCAATGAAACTCAGGGGCGTTCAACACCTTCAAGAGAAAAGAAATAAACTTCAATAAATCAGGACAAATAATGAAGTACAGCACATGAAACTCCCAATGCTTCATATAAAGAAGAAGAATGTTATAACTATTTCATAATCCACACTCTATCATTGTCTCGTAGCTTGTCTTGGCAGAACAGCTGATCATGAAATCAAAACAGCCTCATCAGCCAACTCAGATTTCATCAGAGACCAAGACCATTTCATTTGTGGAATTTAGGAGATAAAAACTAATACAAACTATGACTAACCTTGAAGGGTATTTGTTATATTTTCACTGTAACTCAGAATCTTGTGGCTCTTTGTCCCAAGTGGTGACAAAGAATAGGTCACAGAAGTGTCACCACTGAGCCCATCTTCATTCTTGATTGGTGTTGCATACTGTAACAAAACAGAAATGAATCTTTCTTAACACGTATAACATTTACTTACAATGTACAAAGTACACACAGTGTAATCTGAGCTCCTGAACAAGACAGTAGGGCAGCTTCATGCGCCGACCACGATATCTCCCTTGAAGTGTGCTACAAGGTACCAGCCAGGATAGAATTGTGTTGGGCTTCAAGTACAACTGGAGCATAAAGCTGATTACTCACCTCCATCCAATGCTGAGAAAGGGTGGATGGAGTGTTACATCCCTTCTGCCAGACACCTTCAAACCATGATTCTTATGCAAAGAGACAATTTTACATTCACCTTTACCTGAATGGAATGGGTCACCAAGAAAAAGAAAAATGTAATTTTCCCATCATGTATTGAAGTTTTGGACAACACAGATCAGAATATCTTCTTGTATATGGTTTTGAGCTTACAAATTTATTTCCGGAGCTCCCGTTGTACAGAAGAAAACATGACAGTAGAAATGTTATATTAAGGTTATTGAGGGACAGAAGAGTCTCAGAGTTTTAACTCTGTGTATTAGAATGCTGATTGTTTCTTCCTATTATAAACATCTTTTAGCAAAAATCAACATAATACAAAAACAACAAAAGGTTCACTGTTCATCACCTGGAATGTTTGCTGCAGGTTCCACTCATTTCCCTCTGTACATGTGACCATCCAGACCTAAGAAACATAAAACTGTAACACCTCAGTAAATTTAAAATTATATAACATCAAATGCAACTTGTAGTCTCCAGCACCTGACTGGCTGAGTGGATATATTAATGTGGTATTTTAAAAGGCTTTAATCCACGATGATGCCTCATGCAAGATACCACGACTGCATAAGAGTCATGGAGGGTACTTCATGTGAAAGTCTGTACATAAAACGGTACTGTAAAAACATACGAATGGCAGAAAAAGTAAACACATTTATGACATGAATTAACTGGGAAGTGTAACAGAAAGCAATTATGTAATTCTTCTGAAATATAATAATAGGATGTTTTCAAGATCAGCGTTTTACATAATATATGCAGATAATTACAAATAGCCACATAGTAGGTACTTCATAATCGTATGCATCAAACATGATTGTGTTCTATTACTAAAACAAAGCCAGAAAGTTCCTACAAACATACTGTTGCAACTTCTTCATTAATGAGAACTGGCAGCATCAGTAAATCAAATGAGACACGTAAAACACCTTATTAGAAGCATATTCAGTTTTGTTCCTAAAAATACCTTAACATTATTTTAATGTTCTTAAAGTATTGGCAAAAGTTTCTGAAAATGTCGTCTGTTACTTTGAATGCGTAACTGATCTGTGGTACTGGTACACTGAAAATCTGCTGTTGTCGCAGCCGTTGAATCAAATGCCAAAGCTAGTCGTGGATGTTGACTCTTTCCAAGTAAATTATGCCCTTCAGATGTCCCCACAGTAGGAGATGGTAGATGTAAAATCTGGCCAGAGGCCGCAAAGTCAATTTGATTCATCTCATCCATCAGCATGTGTGATGAGAGTCCAGAAGCTGCTTTATGTTGTAAATAAGACGCCCTAAGAGTTGAAACACTAACTCATAAGGTGATATGAGGACATCACCTGTTATTCCTGTCCAAATATTACTTTTGAATTAATGCTTCATTGCTGTAGCCACTGACAAGAAACTTGTGACCATTTCCAATTTCTATGTGGTTGATATATTCTTCCAATTCCTGGGTTGTCATTTCTCTCGGGACATCAGAAGGCAATTAAGAATCACCTGCCTATATATTATCTATTGCAGAAGGTGTCAGGCAATTATTTTTCATATTATTATGTCATGACACGTAATTAATTTCATCACGTGGCATGTGAAGGCATCTGGACTACACAAAACTTGGCATCAAGACAAACTCTCAAGGAGGGAACAATTGTAAAGGCCATGTTAAAGTTGGAGAAGCAGCAACACAGAGTTAGAACTCTTAGCTGTAAGAGACTGTAGACTGTACTGGAACTACTCTAATTTCATCAAAATTTGTTTAATTATGCTATAACAGACAACACTACAGCATTATGATGCCATTTCCAATGTCCATTCATTATTACCATCAGCATATCGGTCATAGATTTCACTGCATTTTAGTATCTAATTACCAGAAGATCTTCAGATCTTTCTAGAGGGAACAATGTGTAACACTTCGTCATATTAAGTTCTTCCATCCAGGCCTTCTAAGAAACATAAAACTGTAACACTTAAGTAAATTTGAAATTAATACAGAGAGATATTATATATACCAATATTAATATTCAAAATACCTGGTGCATTACTTAGACACAAAGTGCTGTAAATTCAACTTTAACACCTTGCAGGTTATTTAAAATATAATACCTTACTTTTTCTTGCTTTCAGAATATCAGAAAGTTCATTTATCTGTTCAGTAAGATCATTCAAGGTTCTGAACTCATCCTCATCCTTATTCAGGTATTGTACAATACATCCACCGTGATCCCCTGAAAACTGAAGAGATGATCAATGTTATAATTGACAAGTGGAGTTAAAGCTACCTAAAGATGGTCGAAATCAGCCAAAATATGCTGTAAACAATCATTATACTTGTAATATTAACAATTTATTATTAACAACAATGAATAATGTGTTGAGAACAACACACAGTGTTTGTAAGTTGCATGATGTTGATGGACCAAAATATTAGTGTTTAATAATAAACTTCAACAGGATGATTCTTTACAATTTATATCTATGCATTTATTCTTAAAAACTTTTTTTCCTACGCCAGACTTGAGCCTCTCAGTCATTAGTCTATTTACAAGGCGACAAGTGTCAGTCGTTTTTAGCGAACAGGGGGCACCATGAGTAGGCGACTGACTTCATCCCCCTTTTTACAAACATCCATGCCTCGAGTGGGACTCGAACCCATGGTCATAGCAGCCAGGCACACGAGGATCATGCCCCAGACCTCGTGGCTACTGCGTCCAGCATTCTTAAAAACAACCTAGCACCTAATTAGCTTTTAATTCCCACACACAAACCTAACTATAGAGGAACATGTGACAAAGGAACTGAACATCAGGAAGAAAAATACTCCAAATGCATCAACAAGTTACAGGACAGTTATAATCATAGTATTTGATCAACAAGAAGGGCACACATTCGATTTGCATATATTACTTCTAATTTTCTTAAAATAAATTGTCCTAGAATTTTATGATTAACACAACCGGGCAAAACCTCATAAAGCCACAATGCAACATACAATTTTAAAAACTACTGCACACATTATTCAAAATCCTTTTAGCTGAAGGTCATTTTTACAATGATTTCAAACAGAAATCACAAGGGCACCATTTACTAATAATTTATTAACAATGCCATATCAGAGTTATACAAAATCAAATGTGAACTCAGAACAATGGGGGAGGAGATCCATTTTACAGTCCTGTCCTGGAAGGATACTAATACTATGGCACTGAGTAACAAGGAGACATTTCATTTCTCCAGAGTTCATTTTAACACAAAAGAAACTAAAGTATAAAACACAGAAAAATAACATTCCAACTTCATTTTACCTCTGGCGATAGAAAGTGCTCAGTCTGTACTTCTGATGTCACTAGAACTGCCTCATCTTGCTTGCTCTTATTTAGAATATTCTCATGACCCTGAATATAAACAGAAAATTATACAGTGTTCCATACACAGCAGCAACTCTGATGGCTTTTTTCAGTCAACTGCTCACCACTGTCAACTATTCCACAAAGCTATCAGTGATCATTTTGAACACCTACACTGGAGTTGCTAATTCACCAAGTGCTTATGCTGACTGTAATGTTTTAGTTTATTAAATTGTATTTATTTCATTCACTGAATGTGTACAGGATTGAGATGCACTGCAAATAAATTTTCTGGATATGGAAATGTCAATTCAGAATTATTAAAATGTTTTTAACATTAACTGTGTCAAAAGTTCAAATTTACTGTCATTATTCAAAAAAACTTATTGTTACACATACAGTCACAAATAAATTACAGCATATAATATTTTTCACCACAGAATTCACATTGTTGTACTACAACTCAAATCAGTAATTAAGACCAGAAAACAATGTGCTTCATGAAAAGTTATGGACTATCATGCACTGTAATCAGGATATGGCACCTTTGCATCATGCATCTTATAAATCTCACTTCCCATGTGAATACAGAAATTATATGGGTGTTTAGAAAAGGTATCAGGCAGAACAATGTCCATTTATGGTATGCAATGGATATTGGAACATTCTACTGATTAAAAGAAAAATAATATCTGGCCTTCCAATGTAAAATTCTGTAATAATTTCAATTCCATGCAAGATATTAAACTTACTCGATGACACACCATAATACAGCACCACAATTCAAGACTGTGATCACAGAAGTTAAATCTTAATATACTTACTTAATACCTAACAGAACAAGTGACTGTATGCATACTCTACACATCTAATATTCTGACGTCTATCCAGCCACAACACAGAACCAAGATTGTCAATGTAAGTTTTTATCTTATTTTAACCTTCAACTATGACTTAATTCAGCCAACTATATTTACTAACACAACATTCTTTGCATAACACAGTAATAAAATATGTAGATTTATATATTTGATATGTTATTGTTTTTTAATCAATTACTTCAATAACAAAGTGGTTTGTGACAATAGCGAGGGACTGTAAGATGGACCAATGAGTTCAAAACATGTCCAATACAGAAATACATATAGTACAATGAGTGAATGACTACAGGAATTTACAAATATTTTTGTGGAGACAGACAATCAATGATTTAGAGCACTCTTCATAAAATCATGATTCATTCCACAACACTTTCTAAAATACTAGGCCCTATTTAAAGGCAAAATTTTTAATTTCCTTTTCTGATTAAAACTGTTGATGCATATGCTGCACATGTATATACTAGTAAAACTGTAAGAGCAAATAAAACTTCATGAGGATATATTCTTTACAGAAAGAACAAAACAGTAACATGAAGTGAACTTATGGATTATGAAGTTAAAGAAAAACTGCAGTGATAATTTTAACATGGAATTAAACATTTAATTTTTAAGTACACAAGACAGAGTATTTCACTAATGACATTCATAATTTTTATTAAATACATTGCTCTTTGCTACAGAAAAGCACAGGAAATCTCTTTTTATATGTTTCAAAATAATAAACACATTGTAAATTAAGAGTAGCTAACAAACAACAAAACATTTATTAAAAGCAGTTAAACAATGTAGGCTCTAATGCCAATGACAATCAGAGAGCCATAACACTGTTTTGATGACACCATAAAGAGTGATAATGTATAACATGCAAGTCATGTTTGATCAAATCATGCTTGGTGCTATTATTTAAACTTTATGTAGAGGAAAGTTAGGATATGGTTGAATAGCGATGATGATGATAATCACAAGATCGGCTCAAGGTAGGATTATATTTTTCATCACATGCACATTTATGATGAACATGTTTTACTCCAGATCCTACCTGTTTAGGATGATTCTGGACAGGTACAGTATCAACTTTAGGACTAGATACAACCTTTCTATCAGCAGATAACTTCACATCTATGGAAGGCTGAGTATTACGTCGACATACTTCATAATATGTTTCTTCAGCACCCAGCTGAAATGACATGTCTGGGGGGTATGGCAAATGGACTACATCTGCAGGCAGATGGAATTTGAGCTTCATCAGTATTTTCAGCATTATATAACTTATCACTAACAGGTCTAATTATCTTTCCAGGAGTGCAGAGATGCTGGTATGGAAGAGATGAATTATGAGGTTTATCAGGAGATGTGTGCCCTTGTAAATCATGGTTTGATTTGTTAACAGGAAACTGAACCTGCTGGTGTTCATGAGGATGGCTATAAAGACGACAGGTTACATTAAGTAAACAGTGTTGTTCTTACTCACTGTTAGGTTGGACAGATGAGAATTGTGACTGGCAAGTGGGGCAATTAGAAGGGAGAAAGGAAGACATGCATTGCTTACCATTACAAACCACAGGATGCTGCTGGTCTAGGTCAATGGAGGCACGCTGTGAAACAAAACATTCAATATAAAATCCCACACTCAAAAATCCAAATTTAACACTGAGTTAAAACTGTATATATTAGATTAACCTCGCAGCTTTTAAATCTTTCCTCATTTCTTTAATAATAACATCTCTGAAATATGTTTGCATGTCTGCTTGACAATATCTCTCTTCCAGAAGTTGTATTTCACAGCAAAGAGCCAAATTTTGATCATGTTTATCAGCTACTTCTGCTGTCAAAGCCTCGCGCATATCTTTTGCAGACTGAAAATTAAAAGAACAAGTGATCTTTATTAAGTATGTTTAGCTCAGACACAAGAATATATGAACCATGTTACTAGTGAAAATGATATTTTGCCTGTTACTTTGTATGGGTGTGAAACATGGTCTCTCACTCTCAGGGAGGATCACAGATTGCAGATATTTGAGAACAGGGTGTTGAGGATATTTGGGCCTAGGAGAGGAGGATGGGGCATGGAGAAAACTATATAATTACAAACTTACAAATTTGTATTCCTCCCCCAATATTGTCAGGGTGATGAAATCAAGAAGAATGAGATGGGTGTGGCATGTGGCGTGCATGGATGGGGAGAGAGGTGTGCAGCAGGTATTGGTCAGGAAGCCTGAAGGAAAGGGACTGCTGGGGAGATTTAGACGTCAATGGGAGGATTTTATGAAGTGGTATCTGTGGGAGAGAGGAGTTGAAGGCAATTGGATTTTGTTGAACCAGGACAGCAAATTACGATTCACGGTCACTGAGTCCACACACACATCTCGTCTATCCTGTACGCATATTCTACCACATACAAAGTAGGCCTGTTTACTAATCATGACTTATTGTTTCTGATGCATTGCAGATTATGTAAGACTGCCACCTGCCATCCCATCTTCTATAGCAACACATTTGGGTAGCCTGGTACAGTGTTCCTCATTCCGTCATGGTACAAGGTCCTTTTCGATTGTTGAATACACTTCTTAAACTGAACAACAAAACAAAAACCAACTTATGGTACCACACTGCAGTAAAACAATACTGAATTCGTAAGATTTTAGGTTCTTACAGCGGCAAGTAGAAAATGTCTGTCTTCTGGGATGTTGCGCCATCATGTCCTGTTTATGGAGGCAGTAAGAACATTCCAGATTAGTCATCTTCAGTTTTCAATTGTGAAATCTCTTTCATGCACAAAGGACGACACTGAACGTTGTGAAGCCACTGAGTCATTAGCATTCTTGCTACGTGTTTGGGATCCCGGGTTCAAATCTTGGCCCACCAACAGGTTCTTCTGACACTTGCATGGCTCTTCACAGTTCCTACAGTAAAGTTACAGGGCAGTACCTTAAATTTGGCCATAATCACTTCTTCCAAAATCCTTCCTCTTTCATTATTTACAAATCATTCTGCTATTAAACGCTACATAGTCTGAGCTGCATAAATAAAACAGGCTTCAGGGTTTTATATTTTGTTTTGGACAAAATATAAATCTGATGGTAACCTGCCATGTGGACCCTCAGAACATGATACACTTATATAAGATGAGTAAAAACGTCCTTGAAGTACACTTATTGGTACTTATATAGACAGATGAAGTGATTAAAACGTTTTCTGGTGCTACTGGAGTATTTGATGGTGGGAGCATACTTCAAACAATATTTTAGTTGAAAACTGTATTCAGGCTGATGATCGTGAAGAAGTTAGTGTGTACGGAGTATCTTGGAGTCCCTCAGACATAGTTTAGGAATCACTGTTGTCTCTGCAGGCAGTTTTACAGCTTTTATTATTAATTTCACTTTTACCAGCAATCCAGAACACGCTTTTGTGCTATATATGAGACCAAAAATACCAAGGTCACACTGGGAAACAAAGTTTTCCATTCACACCCCAAAAAGAGAGAAAGAATTCTGTATGTAAAGGCTGGATGAATATTCGTGGAAGCCAAGCTCCTGCCTGTATTGATACCTGAATGTTCTAAATTCCTTGTCTGGTATTATATACTGTAATGAATAACACTCCTGCTTCATAATCAGAAGCTGTTTGGTTAAAATCTGATCTGGGTCTGTCATTCAGCCATGTGACAAAGAAAAAAGACATCTTCATGTACATTGGAGTTAAGTTACCTGATTAAATGTTTGATGCTATTTGAAATGAGACCTACCAGTGTGATAAAGCAGGAAGTGTGTCCACACCTTCTGTAACATTCTGGATAAAATGGTAGCTGAACATGTTGCAACACATTTATTCTGGAGTCTTCATAATGAACTCTGTACTTGTTAAAAGAGAAACAGGAAAACAATCATAGCTTTCTTGACAACATTAATATTAAAAACATTTATTTCCATGACCATAAAAGTAAGGTAAAGTAAAGTTTGTCCCACTATACGCCATGTAGGCATTTGGGGTGAGTGGAGGTATAGCTCCTCTCTTCCTTGACCTCGGCACTAGATGGGGGTGAGTGGTCAGCATCATGCCCCGGCCGGCTTTACCCCCGGGATAGGACCCCCGGTACCCATTGTAGAGGAGGCTGAGTGGGCCCCAGAGCCGGTCTGGATGCAGAGGCACATATCTAAATCACAGAAAAAAAGTTGAGCTACTACAAACAAAACATGTTACTTAAAACATTAATTTTGTTATATAAAGTTATAATGTTATATTATTATTTTTCTTGTTGTGGTGGTGGGTGTTCTGTTGTACTCTTACAATCAAAGGTTTCCATGCTTCTCTCTATCAGATCACCCACTCTTCTTCCTTTTCATATTTTCAAGTTTACTTTCTAATCTTCTTATGTTTTGTACGGCATTTTTGTTTTCTTGCTTTTTTTGAGCTTTTAGATATTTTCTGAATGACTTCTCTATGATCAGAATCTGAAAGACAAAGTTTTCATAAACATACACAAACAATAACATGGTTGTTTAAGCTACCATAATGAATATGATCATAATCATGTTAAAATATTAGGGAAACATATGAAGATTACATATTATCAGTCATACTGTGTTTACCAGAACCTAACACCCACATTAAAAAATAAGGACTTAAAAAAGGAATAAAAAGTAAAAATATGAAAAAAGAATAATTCTGCCAACAGACAATCACAATATTATAAAGCTTAGCAGAGCTATGGCTAAAAGTGTCTGTGCATGGAGATGGCAAAAACCCTGACAACAGAGGTATCAAGTAAAACAAGACGACATGGAATATATTTTTTAATAAAAGGTCCTGATCCTACCAAAACCTACTCTACAGGGTTCTGTTGAATTTAATTTATAAAATTCATTACATGTTATGCACGTACACTCCAGAACTGAAGAACTGAGAATATAAATACATATATCATTGTAAAGATATATAAAACTCTATGTCCTCTCCAAACTATTACAAAACATAAAATATTATTTTAAAAATCCCACACAACAAAGATTAAAGAGTACACATACCTGAGCTACTGTCTGAAGATGTGTCAGAAGAAGAAGAAGCATCTGAACTGGAGTCAGAGTCACTAGAGTCATCACTGCAATCTCTAGCAAGATTTACGAGCAACTTTGGCACAAATGGAACTTTTGGCTGTGCCTTCAAATGTTCTCTTAATTCATCACTACAAATAACAAATCCATCCATTAGTATACATTAGAATCACCTTACATGAAGAAATATGATAAGCACAATATTGCATATTTAACTTCAAGCATCACCAAATATATTGGTCAAGCTGGCTTCAAATGCCCAGGGTCTCAGTTTCAAGACCAGTTACAAGTGCAGATTTTCTGCATTTCATCTCAGTCATTCATTTCTGACAATGAATACAAAGAAAACCACAGCCTCTACATTAGACAACATTATAATAAGGAATTCTTGACTTTTGTCAAATTGGCAGAGGCCAAAAGACAAGCCAACACATTTGAATTCAAGTCAAAATTTAAATGCAATTTAAATTCAAGCACGTTTGAAATTTGTTTTGTGTGGGTTTATTGTACAGCATAATATTTTTCTGGAACCAGTATCTGGTTTGTTATAAGGATATCCTTGCTGTAAAAGAAAGGTTCTTCAGGTGAAGGTTTTATTTAATATAAATTAAGATATTGCATAGGATGGAACTGTCTGAACAAAACCTATGTGACAGTACTACTTTTATCAACTTACGTCAGTCCTCCCAAGCCTATAGATGTAAAGAAATTGATGGAAAATCGTGTATTCTTGGGATCATCTCGTGGAAACAGACCCTCAAATGCAACTTGCATAGTTCTGCAAATAAAAAATTAAAATTTAACAAAATGTGTTCTCAATACAGCATTAGATTTCCCATATAAGGTTACTTTAATGTGTATATATAAACAGGATGACCAGCAAATAATAAAATAATAGAAAAACTGAATTGTATAGTATTATTTTAAGCTCAATCACCCAATCCACTAATACACCTCTCTATACCTTTTACTGCATGAATGCAGTGCTTTTTAGCTTCACTGATATCTGGGAGAAAATCCTACCTACCTACTGTCAGATGCTTTTAATAACTAAGCGTAACTGTGCTGCTCTTTGGAATTATGATGCTCTTATATGACATAATTTAAAATTAAGTAGCTTTCTGAACTCTAGGTAATCACCAACTCCCTCCAATCCACCCACTGAGGAACAGGCAAATGAAGTTGCTTGTTTGCTCCATAATGCAGATTTCGAACAAATGATTCTCAAATGCGCCAAAAAACACTGGTATTCCCACATACTGCATATCCAGCATGTCTTAGCCAATATATTCCAATCCATCATTGTTTGTATCCATAACAGGAACACTGAATTGGGTGGTTATTTAAACTGCAGGTGTGCTGCACACATTTTATAGGAGATACTTGTATCTTGAGCTTTGATGTAGCGAATGTTTGCTGTATAATTAGTTATACTAAAACAAGAAAAATAAAATTACTTTTTATAGAAAGTCAAACAGAAAAGCTATAAGACACTCATATAAAAATGTATTTTTTGCTTTTATAAATGTACTCACTTCACACTTCTAATTTCTTTTAGATAACTTTAAACACTTTTACAGCTTTAAGATATATTTCGAGATCAAAGTTCAAGTCTTAGCTTGAACCCTTCCAAACTGTGTAACTTAAATGATATATTCATATGTTTACTTACGGATCCTTTATTCTTCCATTCAGCTTATTAAGTCCCATGTACTCTGATAATTCAAGGAAGAGAATTTTAATGAAGATTCGACTGGAACTAGTAGTTTCGTCCTCATTCAGGTGGATGAAGGACAACACCTCCCATGAAATGGCATCAGTGAAGAGGAGATGCGCAAAAAATTTAGCCACATTTCGTAACTTGTTTGTGTCCAAGCGATGGATTGTGTCATATGTATCTCTGAAGATTTGTTGAAATGGAGGGATAAATATTTTATTCATCTGGCAGAACCTCTGAAAAGAAGACGGAAGTTAAAATAACATGAGAACAAGACAAGATCAAGACTGGCACAAGTTACAAAAGATGCCACGCACAAGGCTGAGCATGTGAAGAACTTTTGGAGGAGCTGTGGGTTTGTTTGTTGAGGTAAAGGCCCATTAGTTTCTCTTGTTATATGCACCTGTATCCAAAATACATTTAATAAATAAACTGTGCCCCAACAGAGTAAGATTCATCCTTATAATTCCCAGATGGCAAGTTAAATTGCAACAGCACCAACAAGAAAGTGTCCTTTGAAGTGACATTAAATATACAAAGTCAACAAGTACAAATGATGATGTAGATGTAGGTGTTTGATTTCGATTTGCTGATTCATACACACAAAACTTTGACTAATGTCTCCATATCCTGAGCCGGGATAGCTCAGTCAGTATAGTGACTAGCTACGGGCTGGGCGATCGGGGTTCGATCCCCAACGGGGGCAAAGGATTTTTCCTCTAGCCTCTGCGTCCAGACCGGCTTTGGGGCTCACCCAGCTTCCTGTCCAATGGGTACCGGGGTCCTTTCCCGGACGTAAAGTATGGCCCGGGCATGATGCTGACCACTCACCCCCATCTGGTGCTGAGGTCAAGGAAGAGTAGGAGCTATACCTTCGCTCCCCCCAAGTGCCTGCATAGGTATGTAGCGGGATGCTCTACTTTACTTATGTTTGTACAGTGCTAGAAATGGCCATTACCTGTGCCAACAGGCCATAGAACTTTTCGTAGGTCCTCTGTTCTGCACAGCAATCTAGAAACATATGACAGAGTTCCATCTCCTGTCCAGGCTTTAACTCCATTCTCATCAGCTTGTGGGCACATTCTTCAAAATCCAAACTTGAATGAATCGTCAGGTAGATCGTTCTTCGCAGAGCCATGAGGTTAGTCTCGGTCTTATCAATAATGGCATCATCCCTGCTCTCCTCTGAAACAATGACAAAATTTTTAACAGACACAAGTGAGTAAGTAGGTACTCTGCCACATTCTCACCAGAAGATGGAAACAGATCAGTTTCTGAAACCTTGTATTCTGTATGGAATAGTACATAATGGACAAGATCAGAAACCTAATTGTAATATACCATAGTCAGAACCCTTCAAAATTTATCATGGATATACTATACAAGGTCTGTTCAAAATGTATCGGACCTTTGGCCGGGAAAAATACAATTACTCACCTGGAGCTCTTAAACCCTAATCCCCTTCAAAGTACTCTCCTTGGGACTGCACACACTTCTCCCAGCGGTCCCACCATTGTTGGAAGCATTTGTGGAAGGCCTCTTTGGGAATGGAGTACAGCTGGGCCGTCGCATTCCGCATAATGTCTTCTCATGACTCAAATCAGGTCCCTTTCAGCGACATTTTCAGCTTGGGGAACAGCCACAAATCACAAGGAGCCATGTCAGGAGAGTAGGGAGCCTGAGAAACCAGAGGAATATTGTGTTTGGCCAAGAAAGCCTGAATCAGATGCAAAGAATGGGTGGGTGCGTTGTCATGATGGAGGTGCCAAGTTCCTGCTGCCCACAGGTCTGGTCGTTTGCGCCGCACAGCATCACAAAGGCGACAGATGACCTCCAGATAGTACTCTTTGGTAATGTTTTGGCCTTGTGGTGCGTACTCGTTATGCACCAGCCCACGGGAGTCAAAGAAAATGGTCAACATGACTTTGACGTTGCTGCGCACCAGCCGTGCTTCTTTTGGCCTCGGGGATAATGAATGTCTCCACTGTGACGACTGCACCTTGGTTTCCGGGTCGTACCCGTATACCCACGACTCATCACCAATGAACACGGTGTTCAGGAAGTCGGGGTCGCAGTTTGCGCAGTCCAGCATGTCCTGCGAGACTTCCAGACTGAGTTGCTTCTGCTCCATCGTTAGCAGCTTCGGCATAAATTTCGCGGACACTCTCCGCATGTCAAAATCCTCGCTCAAAATGGAATGTACTGAACCAATGCTTATCCCCACCTCGTCCGCATGTTCTCGGACGGTGACA